AGTGCTGAATGTTTACATTCCAAATAAAGCGGCTACAGGGAGCTACACTGCTTCCCCTCTGAGTCACTGCCAAGTTTACTTCCTCCTCAACTGTTCACCACTGGTCTGAACATACCAAGGTCCAGAATTTGCTAGAACAGTTTGACCGTGCTCCACATATCACACTTTTTAATATTTTTTGCACAGATATTCTGAATGGTCAATAGAAAGGCACACTGTAAATGTTTGGATAACCATATCTAAACGGTGTACTTATACATACATCATATGAATGCTCTGTTCATTTATTCACACATTTGTGCTGGGTGTCTGTGGAATAAACAATCTTTATTCCTTACTTTTATCATACTGGTTATTTTCTCAAATCTGATGGTTCTTCTTTTGATTCAATGCAAAGAAATGCATTAAGACTCAGAATGAAGGAAAGGCCTAAAAATGTCTAAGAGGAACACATTTTGGCCTTGCTTGTATAAAATAGCCATCACAGCATACATATAATTTCACATTATGAGTCTGTGAGTTGTGATAAGAAGTGATGTAAGTTTTCAAAAGCTGTGTCTCTAAAACGCACAACAGAAAGCCAAGTTCCTTATGTGATCATGAACAAGATTCAAAAACTTGTTCTTCATAACTTTGGTTCTGAAGTGTTATAAAAATGTAATGAAGCAATGGATATTGGTCTTTAAATAGAACCATTTGATCAAAAGAGCAAAAAATATTTGATCAACACAGATACACAGGTAATGTCTGAAGGTAGAGACAGGAAGAGATTGAAGTAGTTGAGCAAGAATAGTGTAGCAGGCGCCTTTTCAATCCCTGAACACTCTTCTCTGCCCTCCAGGCATCCTTTCTCCAGTAGAAAACTTATAATTAGGAATGTGGGGAAATACTCTGAAAGAAATCACTATATGCTTATAATGTGTATTTTTATTTGTAATTAGATAGTAAACTTCTGCTTAAACTGTTTCATTCCAGTTGTTGCACAACCATATCAGTGATGCACTAAAATTATTAGTGAGTTCCACTTATATATCATTATGTAGGTTTCTTCTTTTTTGTTGCCTAATTTTTAACTCTATTTGCAAATAAAAGTTAATAGAAAAAAATCATTTATTGTGTCAATTGTCACAATTCTCTAGATGGTCAACATAAGGTAGAATCTCCAAATTCATTCAATTTTCACTTTGAAAAAATCTAGCAATAGCCAAAGGATGCACAGAATCCCACTGGGAAAGTTTTGCTTAGTCTTATCTAGACCCTTAACAAGCCTTGGTTGTTTTCCCCAAAGAACAGTGCTCAAATTTGTCTTCAATTTCACTTTAGACCAAACTGGGAGTGTAATGTTACTTAGAATGCTTGGAATGTGTGCCTGAACAGTAACTCTGACTTTAATGAAATAGTTACACTTTGAACTGTATATTTTCCAGGAACTTCAAACCAAAGGGAGACACCTTGAATTTTTTATTTTTATTTTTAGTGGCTTGCTAATCGACTGTGCATGAATCAAAATGGCTAACTAACCACTACCACATCTATTCTTACAGTTTGTCTTTTCAGCTTGGAATATTTTCATTGGCAAATGACAGGCTTATAAAATCAGATGCCTGAAAACATAAATGTTCTCCAGCAGTCTGTTAAAATAATCTTTCTAGGCAATACCTCCTATAAGGATTTTGGTCTCCCATATACATTTCTCTAAACAGATGTATTTCAGTCTTCTGTATAATCCTTCTTCCTGGCTTTTAAATAGTGGAAAAATATACTTCCCTTTGCCAAAACTTCTCTAGTTACTGGAAAGATTTATGAAATAAATAAACATCTGAAGGCACAAGTCATAAACAGAGGTTTTTCTGGGCCACCTTCTCACTGACTTCATGAAGGCTGTGATCCTGCACTCAATTACAGGCACTGCCACCTCGAACTTAAACATATTTTCTTGAAAGCAAGAGCCAGAACGTGTGCCATAAATATCATGCAATGACTGTAGGAAATGGCTTTCATTTGAAGACGTGCACCTATTGTGATTGCAGTATGTAGCACTAGTTATCATGTCACTGGCAGAGCTGGCAGAAAGAATTTCTGTACCAGAGCTCAGCCTTCCACAAGGCAGGTGACACTGAAGCCCTCCGTGCCAGTCACCACACTGACATGCTGGTCAGTGTTGTATGTTTATTTATTAAATTTATATCCCACCTTTCTTCCATCATGGAAGTCAAATGAGTTAACCATGGTTCCAGGTGGTCTCCTTCCAAGCTTAAGACAGTCCCAGGCCTGCTTAGCTTCAGTATGGTGCCTTCTGCCCACGCTGTCTTGCAAGCATGCTGGAGTCAAGTGTGCACCCAGCGGCTGCTTCCAGGTGCTCATACTAAGAATTCTCCCTCTAAGTCTCAAGGACTAAAGCAATGTTGCTGTCTGTGAATTGTCTCTTGGTCTTGTGGCCAAATTTGAATCAAGTGTTCTTAGAAACAACAGTAGCTTTGAACTTTTAAAAGAAGCAGTGGAAAAGAAAATATAAGTGGTAACAACACCTGCTGTCCAGATATGATTTCTCTACCTCTGTTCTTTCTGTAATTTACACACCTGCATTGTACATGTACAGATATGTGGACTTTGGATGGGATATTCAAAATAAATGGAAGAAAGATGGCGCTACCCTGTCCCTCTCAGCTTCTGAATGTCCAGTGCCAAGCAGAGAACACATGCAGATTACCAAAATATCCCAGAGAGAATTCCTTTTGATCCCAACAAAGCCTGATCATCTGTATCAACCTGCCAGCTGCTAAGAGAATTCTATCACATCACTGGCAGATATAAAATTATTCAGCTAAAGGTATGATAGAACCAACATTTCCATGCATTTAGTTTGACAGGCATTAAATATTATTTATGTGGAACCTTCAAGTAACATTCTCAATGGTTACTCAAATCTGAAAAACCTAGAAAGATTGATTTCTGTTTTGTTTCTGAGATATTTTCCCCTACAATCTTCCTTCCACCCACCTTTCTTTTTCAGTACAGGCAGACCCAGGTTATAAACAAATTCTGTTCCTGAAAAAATGGAAATTCATCTTTAAGTCACATTTGTATGTGAGTCACTTCACATGTAGTCAGTCCTTCACATTTGCTGGGGTTACGGGTGCAGCATTCCCTTGAAATTTGAAAAACTGCACCCCCCACCCCAGCTTGCCTGCATCTCCTCTTTGCAGCAAGAAAATGGCAGAGATTTCCCTCTCTGGATGGGCAGGGCAGGAAGGCTCTGGGGGCCTCCCTCTCTCCCCTTTCACTTCCTCTCTATGGTGATGATGATTTTTTGCCATATTTCTTTTAAATGAATAAGCTTTATGGCAGCTCATTCACAAGTACACATTGTTCATAACTCAGGGACTGCCTGTATACATCCCACATCTCCCTCATCATCTGATTAATGTCATATGTTTTAGAGAAAAGGCACTGAAACCTAATGCTTGTCTATTTAAAAGCAAGTTCTCTTGATTCAAAAGGAGAAGGGGGCGGCAGAGGATGAGGTGGCTGGACGGGGTCACTGGGGCAGTGGGTGTGGGCTTAGGTGGACTCCAGGGATGGTGGAGGACAGGAAGGCCTGGAGGAATGTTGTCCATGGGGATGTGATGGGTCGGGCACAACTATGTGACTAACAACAAGAACAACAACAACAAACTCTAAGTTAGGGATGACTGCAGCCTGAATGTTGGTTTATATTGATAAATATAATCAGTAAATGTATTTAAAGAAATTAATGGAATAGCCACTGATTCTGGTAAGTATTCTGGGTGTACCTTAAGAGAAAGCTGTCATGCCGCTTTCCTTTTGCACTCCCTTCCTAATTAATAAAACAGGCACTTGCAGTCACTCAGCCATCACTTCCAGGGGATCTTGCTTTCACACAAGGATGCTCAGAAATGCAGCCCTATCTGAATTGTATTTTTGTTGCAGGAGTTTTTCAGTGTGTTCAGTTCAATCCAGTCCGTTCAGTTCAGTTGGAACCTTGCTTCTATCAAAAGAATGATGCCCATTCTTACCAAGGAAACCCAAACTATTTATTTTTGGGAATAATGCAGTGGATACCCAGAACCACATATATCAGCCATTACAACCACCATCTTAATAAGGCTTCATATGGCTACCCTGGAAGGCAGATGGCCAGTCTCCAAATACAAACTCTCTTCTCCCCACATTGGTTGGCACATTCGTCTATGTGATTGACTGAGATGAACCTCCTTTAGGATTCTAGTTTGCATGCCTGGTTGTAAGCGTACCACTTACTGTGTGGTACTATGATGTTTGTGTTAGCAGCTGAATGCTTTTATGCCAGGGAGGGATACCTTGATGAATATACAACACTAGTGCAGGAATTCTCCACATTTGTATCAGTCCATTGTATAATGAATATGCCATGCTATATGTCTTAGCACCGCAGGAAGAGCTAAGCAGCATGCCATAGAGGAGGCAAAAAACCGAGTGACCTCACAAAAATCAGTGGGCTATAACTGAATGGATAATTCAGCTTGCAGTTGTGCATAAGTGTAGTTCTGAATATGGAGCCATAAAGTGTGGGGCAAGATGCAGATTTTTAGACCCATTTCTATATATTCCAGTTACACTGGTATTGTGCATTATTAGCATTTATATGCCAGACTTTTTACCAAAGGCTATTCATGCGAAGCCCTGTCCTTGATGAACAGTCCTTCTTTGGGCAGCAATGCCCCCAAGAAAGCTCAACCTGTGGATTTTAATAACCAGACAGGTTATAGGGAATGCATTCAGTGCGATAACACATTTGAAAAAATCCTACTCCCTCTTCAACAGTGAGAGATAAACCAGGTATTCTTTTCCAGTCAAGAGTCTTCTAAATTGAAATATGATTTTCATAAGCCTTCCACCGGATACGACACTAACCAGTTAATGGATTTCCTGTTTTTATCAGGTACTCTGCTCACAGACAAAGTATTTAATATCCTGTCATTTGATGGCTGAAAATTTACCTCAAAGACTTCTTCATCAAGGATCCTTGTTCCAAAGACAGTGATGCCGTTGGTGTCGACAACCGCTTTGTCACTCCTGCCCAGGGGTTTCGTGATGTTCTTCTTACAGTCCACAATCATGGTAACAGATCTCTTCTCCACACTAATGGCTACCCGATGCCACCTAGCACGAGAGCAGAGTTCTTTTGTAAAATAGGAAACATTTTGCTTTTTTACCCTGTTTGCAAATTAAGCATTTGGATTTATTCCACATGAAGAAAAATGTCGGACGTGACTTCGCAACTAGCGACAACAACAAACCATTTATTGAAAACATTTGTAGTTCACCTTTCTCAATAAAAACCATGCATTCTGCCACCCAGCCATCAAAATAACAGCTTGATTAAGGAAATGCAGCTGCATGTGATGAGGGTTGCATACATTATCAGCTGATGCAGAGTCAAACTAAATGAGGATGGTTTTGGCAGCTCTCCTGCCAAAAGGAGTGATATATGAAATTGGCCTGAACAATCAGTGTCGATTTGAGTGAAAGGAGTCCTTGGTAAGTTGCAGTAGGGGCACTGGGGTAGCCTAGTTTTATGCTGCATAGCTTCAGACCCTCTAAAACCATCTCCGGGTTCTTATATTGCCAGGGCAGGAGGGAAGGAGGCTAATCAAAGAACAACCTGGCATGTAGACTGGAAGAATGAATACAGATGATGCTCCTATTACAATGTGTGTTCCTAAAGCTGACTGAGGAATGATGGGGGTTGTGGGACATTTTTTGCCTAAGCATGCATAGGTGTATGCACCAAGCCACCTGAATTAGGGATGTTTTAGGCATCTGCAACAGATGCAAATATGTTTGAATTTGCATGAATTCAAATGCATGTGTTTGATTTGCATGAACCTGAACTGTGGGTTCTGCAGCAGAGCATCTTTTCCTAAGTTGTACAAATTTAATGGATTTCCAGACTGGTCTTTTAAAAAAAATCCTTAATGTTGTGCAAATTTAGTCATAGAAAAATATGAAACCCTCCTTTTCAGCTTTGCAAGCAGATAGGCACAAGTTCAGCCCCTGGTAACTACTAAGGGATCCTTGCTATTCTTCTGGAACACGGTTTGTGAAACCCTGGTTTAGATCCCTTGGCATTAGGAGCTCGACTAGGTATCCCTACTCAACAGGAGTTCATCACTTACTTTCCGTCAGCGATATTGACTGTTCTGAAAAGGGGATAATCTTCTGGAGATGGCTTTCCATGCTGATCCTCGAACAGGAACACAGGCGATCTGCCAACTTCAATGCCGACTTGCTGAATGCCTTGTTCATTGTAGACAGATAAAAGAAAGGACTGGGTTCCTTTTTTAGGTTTTACTGTGAAGAGTATTGAAAAGTGCTCAGGAAAGTTTCCACCTGTCAAGAGAAAAATGCAGAGTCACAAATCTTGCAGTGCAGAAACAGGATTTGCAAGCACTTTTTAAAAATGCATGAGCAAGAGGATCAGGTTTTATTTCTTCTGTTAAAAAGAACTGATGCAAATTCCAAATACAAGGATATTTCTTTCCTTCCTTTCTTTTCTGTGCCTTCTTAATTTTTCATTCTGCTAAGTAAGTACTTAACTGAATTGTCAACAGATCCTGAATCATGATTTTGTTAAGTGTACAGTACAGGGTTCAAGTTTCAGTAGCCCATCTTATTTACTTGCAGTCCCCTGAGTACAAATGTATTTATTCCAAGGTAAGTAGCCTCCATCACCAGGCTTTGATTACAAATATACACCTTTGGAAGCAAGATCCAATGAAATGCCTGGAACATATACTGGCATGTGCTTCCCACTGAATTTAGCTGAGCTACCATTCATAAGAGAGCTTTATCTGTTGCATGCAGCCAGCGTAACACAGTGGTTGGAGCATCAGACTGGGACTCAGAAGATCTGGGTTCTAGTCCCCACTCAGGCATGAATTTCACTGAGTGACTTCAGACCAGGCACAGACTCTTTGCCTGACCTTCCTCACAGGGTTGTTGCTGTGAGGATAAAATGAAGAGGAGGAAGCTCATATTAGCTGCTGTGGGTTCCTTGCAAGAGGAGAAACAGTGAGGTATAAATGTGATATAATAATAATGCTTGTGCTGGCCTTTGAAAGCAAATTATCAGTCCCTTGATATTGTTCAATTTGTTGCACAGAGAATGAATAAACAGTACTGGTAGATAGATTCTGGCTGGGAGAGAAGATGGGTGGGAGAAGGAAAGGGGACCCTTAGACAATTTTTAGGGGCCACAGGTTCATTTCCTGAGAAGATACTGGTCAGGGAATTGCTCCCAGGAAGCAAGAAATCAGAACATTCAATCAGATCAAAAGAACAGAAAGAAAACTTCTGATGTAGGAAGCAGAAATTGTTTGGCAGAAATGAATACAAAAGCCCTCCTGATGCTCTGAAGATGGAGGGAGGGAGGGAGAGAATAAGTAAACACGATAAAGCCAAGTGCAAGAGAGGCAGAAGAAGGAGAGAAGCAACAGACAAAAGAAAAGAAAGCCAGCGTTATACAGGAAAGAAACACTCAGTGCAGTTGAACTGGAGAACTGATTGGCAGAGCTGGACCAAGGACAGTAAGTTATTGCTGGTCAAGGGACCTGAGAAAAAATAGAGACATGCTCTAATTAGATTAGCCAGATGAATTTATCCCTGCTTACTCCATTACCCTGTTGCTCATATGGCTTTGTGCATGTTGAGTGGGCATCTATTCAGCTTTCTTTTTCCTACTGAAGTTTTTCTTTGGTAAAATTTAAGCATTAATAATTGAAATTTTGTGGCCTCTTGTTTTTGTACCACCCTCAGAGCGCTGAGTCCTAATAAGTTTGGAGGTTGGAGGTGAAATAAAGACTTCTACTTGGTGGAGGCAGAAAAGCCTGGGAAGAGAAGAGAGCAAAGGGAGTGTGAGCACAATGGCTGGCTTGCTTTCCATTCCATTCATGAAGCAGGGCAATCCCAGGCCATGGCACGAGGTCACAGGGCCTGTTCACAGATCACCACAGCCCACTGTGGTTTGATTTCTCCATAGAAGCTTTCACATCTCAACAGACACCCATGGGGTTGTCTAACCCTCAAGCAACTTATGCCATTTCATGTGACACAGCAAGCCACACACCCATGGGCGTCAGAGCAAAATGGCGCTGTGGAACTCTGGCATGATGCAACCAGCACCACAAGGTGGTGAGTCCTGTCTGGAGAAAACATTCACAATCTGGGTTGTGTTGCGTTACTCTCTGGTGACCTGATCTGTGTTTATGAGTACGGCTAAGTGGAGGAGGGTTTGTGACCACATGGCATAGCTGAACTCATCAAGGCCAGTCAAAGTCCTTTATGCAGCTAGAAGAAAAGACCGAGTTTAGCATCCTCTTTTGAAAGTCAAAATTAGAATAGTTTAGCATCCCACTGGAATGGACTCCATCAAAATTTGCATTGAGGAAGATAAAATTGTCCGGGCGAGTCATTAAAATGACTTTATGGAGCTTAAGGAACATTAGATGCTCTACAGGTTTCAAATTGTTTAAGCTCCTTAAACCACTGTAAGTGAGAGAGGGCTTAAACAGATTACACCCATGGAAGATTCTGAAATATTGCAAACCTCTTAGAGCCTGTCATGCCCTTGGATATGTTCGTGAAAGCTTGATTTGTAAGATGGACACATTCCCCAGTTAAAAAGCTCTAGGTTTTTTTTTCTCCCTAGCCTTATTTCTAGGTTGTGGGAAGAGCACATTTAATTATTTATTCATACATGTATTTATTAATTTTAGTGGTATGGCATTTATTTCAAGATTAAATACTGCAACTTCATTTCATAGTATGTTACAATCTGAGAAAGAATCTGAGATATTAAATACACAACTCACTTAAGTGACATAGAAATACCAATTCCTTTAATACATGCACATTAAAGAAATACCAGGCACCTTGCAATCAAGTCAGCCCCAAAGAAATAACAATATGGAGCTGTGCATTAAACTGTTATCCACTCCCTCTGTGTAAAATTGAGTATGCCGGTGATATGGACCACTGAGAACATGGACCTCCACATTAGCAGTGTAGGACCTCTGAGCTATGAATCCTGGTGACAGTTATAGCTTGAAGAGGGAGGGAGGGAGGGAGGGGGATGGGGTTCTAACTTTCATTGTTTTAAAATGGGAAGATAAATGCTAAAGGATAAGAATGCACAAGACTTGTTTCAGGTGGTTACAGGAAAGAGCATACGGAACCTTCACACCAATGCTGGCTTTCAACCTCAGCTTCCTGCTGCTAGGCATGAACTTCTCTGGTAGAGCCTGTGTAGAAGGAAGCACCAGAAAGTGCTAAGGAAGTGATAGGAGAGGCAAATCCAAAATTGGTCAGATGGGGATAATTCGCTTCGGCGAATGGGGCGCCATAAAAATGTCTTAATAAATAAATAAATAAAAATAATTTATTAAAGCACATACAAATGCTCACTGTATTTCAGTCCTAGTTGGAGACTGTTTATGATGGATGTTGCATGAATATGACCTTCAAGGGGTCTGGATTTGCTCAACACTATACCTGGGCAGACAGTGGGGTTAGTTCCATGTCTGAGGTGGGGTGGGGGGAGCTAGAACCCTAGTCTGAGTCCTGTGCTCTTAACTACTATACCACACTAGAAATGTGGACCTTGTTGTGTTGGCCAAGCACCAAAATATATTTGAGCTATCTTGACTGAAGATGTGTTCAGCCCTATGGGCATACACAAGTTGCCTCCTCAGTGGATCCTTTACCACAAGGGTGAGCAGATGGTCAATCTTTAAGTGTTTTTGAGTTCAACTCCCAGAAGCCCCTGCAAACATGGCCAGTGGGCAGGAACTCTGGGGGAAGAATATAAATCCACCCAGCCCTGCTTTACACAACACCCAGAGCAAAGGATCCTGCCATAATGTGCTTATTCACTGCATGGAGGTTGGGACTTTGTCTTCCGACCTCACTAACACATTGCTGCATCTCTCTGGGCCCACTCCCAACACCCTCATGCAGAGCGAGATGCCTGAAAAGGGGCACCTTTCTAGATTTACAGCTGTACTTTTGCAAGAGACCCCTTTCACCCCCCACTTAAACATCCACACAAAGACATGGAGAAATGTACAGAATCTAGATCTATTATTGCAAATAGGTTGCATCTTTTCGAAGTTTCACTTGATTTCTAAATCAACTTTGCTCCAACCACATTTTTACTTTAACTTTATAAATGTTAATGTTAAGAACTATTAAGAAAATCAAACAGTTGCTCTAGAAATAATTAGTTCACGTCAGATGATTTCTAATTCTGTTTTGAGTCCATTTTTAAATCCTGGGCTGTTTTGTTAGTTTGAAAAGGCCCCATAAATGTTGCAATTGGAGAAATTTGTTTCACTTTCCTGTATTATACAAAAAGGAAAAAGGGACTGAGAAGCAAAAAAGAAACTCTATTCACCCTCACTGATGTGTACAATAAGAACTTGTCCTTTGTGTGTGTGCAACATTTCTTTCAAAGCTTTTATTACTGTATCACACCTTTTAGAAAGCTGAGTTTGCACAAATGAACAGACCTGCATGAAGGAGAGACACAGAACTTCAGAGCTGGAAGGACCTGAACACCTGCCTTGTCTGAACTCTTAATCTAATGTAAAAGATATGCTGAGAATGCTTAAGACAGGTGGCATCAATTCATCTTGTCTAGGCATGCGCTTTAAGTAAGATGTGCTTGAAACGCTGTGGGAAGTTCCCAGATGGAAATCTTGCAGCTTTCTTTCAAATTAGGTAATGTTTACATTTATCTTTATAACAACAACATCACATTTCTATCCCACTCTTTCTATTTATTTATTTTGTTTACTATATTTATATCTCATCTTTTTTCCTTTCAAGGAACGCAAGGTACTTTGCATAATTCTCTCCCTTCTCTTAATCTTATCCTTCCAACAATGACTCCCTAAGCAGGTTGGGCTGGGAGTCTGGACCGAAGTCCCCCAGTGAGCTCCATGGCTGAGTGGGGACTACTACCTGGATCTCCCAGGTCCTCAGTCCAACTCTCACCAACATACCACACTGACTTTTAAGGAAATTGTCTGCTCATATGCGTACGATAGAATATCATCAAATGGTGATATCTGAAGAGACTTCAGAATGGTAAAGGGACATGGGGGTGCCCTGGTAGTTGTTAGTAGGGTGGTGGTAAGGTCCTGCCATTATAAACCTCAAACAGAGAGATTCCATCACTGCTAGGCTGCTTCTACGGGGACATAAGATCACTCATTTTCCTAGCTCCAGGATCAGACAATTGCTTGACTCATGGAACCAAGAACCTGCATTTGGAAGCTTCCCCTCCTCTGTTGACAGTGAAAGAATTGTGCTGGCTGCTTCTCCAAGGTCAC